TCTGTTTAATTTACTTTCTTAAAACCAGAAGCATCTCCTCTTGCAATCCTTATTGGGTTAGAGCTAACAATGCCAAGTCCATTTCTCAGTGACTTGCAGGAGTTGATGAAGCCATTTGAGATAGGTTTGTCATTTTTCTTGCCTCTTTGCCAACCACCGACTGAGAACCCCTGAGGAGATTGGGAGTCTCGAAGCTTGAGATTCTGGTGGGCCATTCTACGCCACTGTTGCTCCTCCGCTCGGATGGACATTTTTTCTTTTTTGGTTTGGTTCGCTTCCGGCTGTCTGTCTATGTATCCTTCTGCAATTCCTCCTCGTTGACGACAGTAATTACTCGGTGCCTTTTTGTTGATTGCAGCTCCTTCGCCTCTTACACTGCAGCTTGCAGCTGCGAAGATGCAAATTTTTGCACTTGCGAGAATTTCGTGACAAAGTTAATTAGAGAAAGCAGAAGGTAGAAGAAGTTGAAGTGGGCGGATTGAGGAGGTGCGAAAAGGGGCCAATCAGAGCCAAATAAAATTACACAAAACTCGATTTTCGTTGTTTCTCGTTTTCAGTAAACAGTTAAGACATCAAAAAATTTTTAGCTGTAACGATTTGAAAAAAGGAACCTTAATTAAAGAAAATTTATATTTTTTAACAAACCGAAATTAAATCTTGATTTCTAACATCTTGATTTCATTGCACAATTAATGCTTTCTAACATCTGAACGAACTCGAAACCAAGCTCTATAAGTTCATTTAATTAAAGGTAAAACCGTTCGACATAACCATTAATATTTATGGTCTAAACCTTTTCACTCTTTCTTTTTAACTCACGCTTGGTTAACTGGCATTTCTTCGTCTTTGTGGGCCACACTTTAAAAAAGGAAATTGGAGATGAAACGAAGCGCGTGAAATTTAAATGCGAGAAATTCAGTTTTCTTTTACTTTTTTCGCATGTTTCTATCGAAGGGAAAACAACAAGGGGAAATATGAAAATTGGCCAGAAGCCTGTGTCAGCCTTGGAAACGGGAATCAGTTTCAACCCTTTCGGTGGTTAAGGGAACAACGGACCTCAAAGAAAAAACCACCCACATCGTATTACTGGGTCAGGTTTTCCTCAAGCTTCCCTTTTTGTTTTTCCTACCGCTTGCTTACTGCCCAGCAGAACTCATTTCATGTTCTTGTTTTTCCCACTGCAACAGCATTAAATACACATATAATTTGGCCAAAAAAAAGAGGGCAGGTGAGAGTGGGTGTGGGCATGAGCAGGGCGTATCTGATGTTGCTTTGTGAGTACATAAAAATAGGCGATGAACTCTTTTCGCAAAACAAAGGAGACCCCACAAAAAAAGGGTACAGCCACAACGAGGGTCTTTTATGTCTGAATACCCTATAGGCTAAGTTGGTCTAAAAATGCTTTACATAAGTTCATTTCTAACATGTATCAAAACATTATAATTTCATTTGAATCTATATTTGGAAAACCAAAAATAATGATTATTTATAATCATCTTATACCATTGCAAAATAATTTTCGCACAACAAAACATTTTCCTCGCTTTTTAAGCTTGTTCAAAAGTTTTGTGTAAATTTAATTATATTTTTGGGATTACACATACTTTTTATAGCCCATTAAATGTCGTTGTACAACCAAACTCTAAATTAATTTTGCTGGCTTAACAAAATCTACGCCCACATATGTGTATGTGTCTTTTTTGTCCATTTGGATTGCCCCCATGGGTCATATAGAAATCAACCCAAACCCACCCCTCTTCTCAACACACCTCAGAGCTAAAACTCTTCCGACGTGCCATCAAATTTGTTTTCAATTAACAAATTGTTTCAAGGCAGAGAGGAAAATCGATAGATATGCCTTTTTCCAGCTCCTCCCCTTTAATGTTCCTCTAATTTTGGTTTGGGCAGAAAAATCTATGGTTCTTTGGAAATTTGTTTTTTCCGCAAAAAATATCTTACGTTTTAACACAAAGAGAAATAACAAGATTTAAAGTCATTCCAATTGAAAATCTTAAGTTTTATTAAGGCAATTCTTTTTTTTTTTGCTCTGTAGATAAATTCCAAGCATTGCGTCTGCTTCGGATGTGCAAGAAAAGCAATGCAGGATGCAGGCTTCCTTTTCCTTTATGCATAGCAAATTCTTACATGGTCAGAGCACCAAGAAAGGCAAAACTTCAGCCCTGCAAATCAAAAAGTTTTCAAGTTGTCGAGAGCATCTTGGCACACAAGTTTCAACAGTTAACCTGACAATGACGATTCTAAAAAAAACTTCTCACATCCGAGATGAGATAAGTGCCCAAGCTCACTCAAGTTCACATAGATATAACATGTACTGGATATTCATTAGGTTCGTAAAAATAACTTCTCCTTGTGAATCAATAAATCAAAGCGTAGGCTGTCAGCCAGCAACAACAAAAAATTGTGGTCATAAGCCGGTAAGATTTGTGAGTCACCAGACAAAGAGCAGAAAAAAAATCACAAAAACTCCCACATCGCAATCGAACAAAAAAATGGCTGTTTGGATTTGGCAAGCCATCAAAATATTAGATATACAGACAAATAAATAAATACAAATAGCAGAAAATAGCAAGTGAAAAATACATAAATTTATAAATTGAATTCATGACTTGCAGATATATATGTAAACTGCAAAGGGGCGTGGCACTGCAGTGGTGTCATCAAACTCTGATAGCAGAAAAGAACAGAAGGCTGACACAGGTCCAAAACTAACTAGAGATAATGGTTGGAGTCGTTCTAAGAATACTGTGTACTCATTTTTGTATATATAGTTTTACTTATTTTTTGTTTGACAGGTGGACAAAACTAATGTTCAACCCAATATACCTTTTGCAGTAGGGTACACAATGCTGCGGGCTTTTTTACCACATGGGGGCTTGAGAAAAAAGGCAAACAAAAGCCATGTGACGAAGCACAAGGTAAAAAGGCAAAGACATTGAAAAAATTGTTACATGAGAATGCGGTGATAGGGGGACGTCACTCAAGGGCTAAACTTTTAATTGCATTCGTAAGAGTGCATGTGGTATCGGTCGAATTCTCTCTATTTGTACAGGTAAAAGGGGAGCCACGCACTGCCCACACGTTTGTTATCTAAGCAAACTGATAGACTACCATCAAATGATAACATTGATGATTCATTAGTCTGTTTGAACACCTCATCGTTTTTTTTGCGTTCCTATGTCTAGTATTGTATACTTGTACAACTCAAATAAGCCGTTTAATTACTAATTGGGGTAGAATGTAATTAAATTTTTAACGTCCAATCGTCATTTAAAGAATTTGCTTAGTCAGTGTGGGGGGAGTGCAAATACGTTAGTAATTTGGTATACATTTAATCAACATTATTTACCTTTAAAATACATAACAAATTGATTTAAATATATATATTATAGCGTTTCTTGCGAAGACGATATGAGGTTTAATAAGTTTAATTTTGAGTTAATTTATTTATTTGAGTTTAAATACATATATAGTGAGCTACACATTTTATCAGTGCACGCGCCTATAATAAATTGGTGAACCACCCGGGAGGTGAAGGGAATGAAAGTATAAGGTCGCTGGGTGACGGCGATGACTCAATTCAAAACCTACATTCCGAATCGGGGGAGGCGCGAACTCTCTGCATGTTCTACTCACATTAGAGGGGCGATACTCGTTCAGCTCATTCAGAATACGCTGACAGGAAGTGATGGGAAAAATGAAATGAAATGATGCATGATAAACGGCGTAGAATATACGAAACTTTCACAGATAGATAATGCTTACAAATTAAACACGCAACTGGCACGAAATCGTTCTCTCATTGGGGGCTATCGTATACACAAAGTTACACAAAAGATTAAATAGTAAATGAACAGAGTGCAAGAAATATTCGCAAGATCCATAATAAAAACAAAAACAAAATAAAAATAGTCTGAGTTTTATTTAAAAGATTTTACAGCTTGCGGTTTCAAAACCCGATAAACACTTAAGCTTAAAAACGTACTCAGATCTGCGCTTTCAAGAAAATACAACCCAAAAAAGTGAGATCATCAACGCAAATTTCTTTTGTTATAAGCAACAAAAACAGAGCAAAAATTAAATTTATTTAGATGACGAATCTGCAAAATATATACGAATGAGACATACTAAGTAGGGCTTTCTGCAGCATCCGTATTTAATGAGAGATCGAGTGCATTCATTTGATTTCTCTTATAAAAACCATCAACTCAACTAGTTGTTAAATGGGATAATAATATAATTAAGGAGAACAATAAATTTTATTAGAAGCATTAATAATTATTGTACTATTAATATTCATTATCTCGTCAATTGTCCATATCCCATTTAGTTCAAGAGTGAGAGAGAGTGTGCTTTAATTAAACATTTTTTTAATGGCAGTAAGATGAAACAAGCCGAACAATAGATAGCCATAAATGAAAGCGTCAGGGAGAAGAAAAACAAGTGGGGCATTAATAAATAGACTATTGCATTTCAATATTTCAATATTTATTGGGGCTTGGATTTCTCATAATAATATGGCTATGAAGTAAGCAATCAGAAGAATACAAACTGAATATTTTTGGAGAAAATTCTTAACTTTTGGTGATGCAGGAAGTTTCATAATTACTCTAACCTCTGTTCTTTAAATCAATATACCCAAGTTCGTCTACGGTATGGGGTATTACTAGCTTTTCTTTGTTTTGCTTCATTCGTTTGCCAAGATTGCCCTTTTTTATTGCTCCCTCTGTTTCGCACTCTTAAAACTCGAAATGTCACAACGCAAAGGGCACGATTTCGTTAATAGAAATGGGTGGAATTTCAAGGGGCCGAGGATGACAAAGGGGGAAGGGGACTTCGAGGACATGGACACGCGACCTTCAACGATTTTTCAATGCTGGACGCGACAAGTCACGAGGGAAACATTGGCGTAGAGAGAGTAATAGTGGGAATTGCCGATAAAAATAATGCTTATTGTTCAATAATTATTGTGTATTACTCACCTCATCGTGGGGGAATGGAGCAGTGCAGCTGTTTTTAGCTGGAAGCTGGAAGGTTGGAGAACAGGAGCCCGGACTGGAACTTCCAAAATACGAGGGCGTGGCAGGGCGGAGTCGCGTTTATTTGTTATTTGTTTTGATTATACTTCGGGCTTTTGATAGCATTTTTGTGGTTTAAATTAAAATGCAGTTTGATTGATTGGCATAATACGAAGTTGGCGTCGAAATTCGTTTGGGTTTGTGCAAGTTTTTCTCGCTTTTCTTTTCACTAAACGCGGTGTTTTACTGGGTGTTTTTGCAATTGTTGTTGCTGTTGTATTGGAAACGTGCTGATTGTTGCTGTTGTCGTTGCAGTTTTCAGTTTTCTTTTTCTTACGTTGAAAAGATCAAAAGGTGAATTGAAAATATAAAAAAAACGTGCACTTATTGCAAGTCTGACATTTGCAGGTGGTGTTATCAACAGAAAATCACCAATTCGCATAAGTTTATTTGGTGCATTAACAATTTTGCATTTCCTACTTAAAAGCGAAAGCATTACTCCGTATTTTTTTTATCAGAATAGTTCTCAAAAATAAATACACATTACGTTCTGTTATTTATTATTATAATAATTTTGCATTGTCTGGATTCTACTACAAAATATGTGTAGGTTATGCATTTTATAGGCCTTGATGAGCATGCTACTTGTTTGCTTGGATTCTATATGGTTTTTTATTGTGAGTGCAGATAAGTTGATCGATCGGTTTGATTTATTTGTTAAATTGTTTTTAGCAGCCGCATGCCATAGAAAAGTAGTGTTATGTATGAGGAGGAATATATTTAAATTGGCATTCCGATTGTTAGTTTTTGGTATGAGAGGGCGGGGGGAGGGAAGAAAGGAAAAATAAATTAGGTTAATCAAGATAGAAAAAGTAATAAAAAGTGTGTGTAGCGTGTTTGGTGAGTGTGAGAAATGAAATAATAGCTAAAACCGAAATCCATTAATTTCTGTTAACTTCTCTGGCGATTACAAAACGGAAAACGACCAAAAACTAGTTTGTAGGGAAGTCAAACCACTAAAAAAAACTTGTCCAATTGTTTGCGCAACAGAAAATTGAAAAAACTGAATAATCAACTTTAAATTTAACAGTTTACCGATTCATTTGAAGCTGGGCATATGTGAGTGTGATTGAATTGGTTAGCCTTTAAAGTCAGCATTCCGTCAACTTCCTCAACTTTTAGAGCTTCGGTTCTTGTGTATTTCGTTTGTTTTTGTTTTCGCTTTATCATCATCATTGAGAACGTCTGAGTTAGCTTTTTATCTAGTTTTATATTTGTATATATATATGCTGTGTGTTTTGTATAATTTATATATATTATATGCATTCAATAAATATGAACATGTTAAGTAAATAGCATTATAGTAAATAGTCAATATAGTTATTATCTCGCATAATAAACAATCTTTTTATAATAAGTTAACTAGAGATTTGTTGCATCTTTTTCCTCCTTTTCAGTGTGAGTGTGGTGGTGATGAGGCTACTTTAAGTGTGAGTTTTTAACAGGAGAACTAAACTAGCTAAACAAACGAAAACTAAATGCATTTTCAAAGTTGGAAAAACGAGGAAATCAACAAGATGTTCTTTCTCTTTTTTCCTGCAAAGCATTTGCAGTGAGTGTGTGATTTGTGTGTGAGTGGAGTGTTCCTTTTTTTTTATTATAATTCTCGTTTTTTGCTTCGCATTATAACAATAATCAATAAAATTTCATGTTTTCTTTGTTTGCAATTACTTGTCTTGTAGTTTTGTGTTTTCAATTTTTTGTTCATTTAGTTTTAGTTTTATAAATTTTTAATTAGCAATTTGTTTACAAGTACTAAATATTCTGGTAGTTATAACTTGAGTTTCATGTGTATATAAGGGGACTTGAGACTCTTTCTTACTAACCATACATGTTTCTCTATATATGTTTATTAGCTATAATTGGTGTAATCGAGCCCTAATTTCGTGTGCTTCTCTATCGGGGGTTCACTGGTTGCGATCTCTTACAGTTTAAGTTTCGATTTTGTCTTCTGCAATTTCTCTGGGTGGGTTGCGCAACATTCTATGTTTATAGATCGGGTCTTGATGAGATTGTGTGTGTTTGGTGTGAGGTGTAAATGTGGCGTGTAAGTAATTGCATTCGAGATTTACATGAAATAACTGCTAACATATGAGGCCGCTAAGATGCCCAGCACAGTGAGGCAGATCAGTATCATGATCTTCTTTCGTCGGGCTTTACTCTGGTACTTGAGCGCCTTCTTGGTGTCCTGAGTTGCCGTCTGCACATAGTCCATAGCGTGCTCCACATGGTACTCAATGCGATCGATCATCTCGCCCTGCGACTCCACCAGCATGGCCATGTCCATGAACATGTCGTGCAGCTCCTTGATCGACGTCTCCAGCTTCATGATGTCCTGGTGCCGGGCCTCGATGTCCGCCAGCGTCTGTTTGGCCTGCTGCGTCTCCATGATAATGCCCTGCGTGAACACCGACGAGTTGCCTTCCTCCAGCATCTTCTCCAGCTCATCGTCGTTGGTCGGCCGTCCGGTGATCTCCAGCTGACGCTGTATCCTTCCCTTGCAGCGCTCCCGGTAGTCGGTCTGCGTGCGATTGTACTCGGTCATCACCTCGACGAATTTACGCGACAACGTCGAGTGCTGCGTCTTTCGGATCCTCAGATCCGCCGACGACTTGTTCTGCTGTTCCTCCTGCTCGATATTCTGCTCGATGCCCTTGAGCTTGCCCCGCACTCGATTGGCGTTCTTCTTGATGTCGGCCATCAGATCCTCCAGCTCCTGCTTGGTCTTCTCGTCCGTCTGCGGGGCGGACAGGATGGCCGAGTGCTTCTTCTTCACCTCCTCGACGTTATCCTGCACCTTGTCGATCATACCACGGATCTCCTCCACTTGGGCGAAGAAGTCGTCCATGTAGGAATCATGGCCATCCACATTGACGGCCACCTCCGTCTCCTCCTCGTCATCGGATTGGGCGGCATGGAGAGCGGCTAATCTGTCTTTAGTCATCTTTGTGATGGGGTTTTATACTGGGTTTGATGGGGTTTTTGATTTGTGGGGTTTCTGATTTTAGGACCTTTTTTAAGTTTTATGGATTCTGGTAGTTAGTTTTGGTATCTCTCTTGTTTCTTGATACTTTATGCTTCGTTGTTATTGGCGTTTTTTACCCCAAGTTTTACGTAAGCTTTTGTTAAGCGGTTTTCGCAGATTGCGTTTTTGCGATTAGCAGTTAAACGTTAACACGCACACACATAAACCACACGTGTAAACGCGCGCGGAGTTTTCCTTTTGCTTTTTTGCTGGTTTGCTTTTTAACTTGTTTGCACGTTTTTCCCACTTTTGCAAGAGAGAGACCTTTTATTGATTTTTCGCTTTTGGCTTGGCAGCTCTCTCTTTTCGGTTTCTTTTAGTATATAATTTTATCTTAACTGGCACTTTAGCTGGCGTTTTGGTTAATATTACTATAATATATATGTTTTTGTGTGTGGTGTTATTTCGCCCCGAGAGAGAGAGAGAGTGTGAGAGGCACACTGAGCGGCGGCAACGACGTCGACTGCGGCAGAGCACCTCTTCAATGCCAGCAGCTAAAAAGCTAAAGCTGCTGCTGAATTAATTTTTCTATTTTTTGTTATTTGTGACTCACTCACTACTACTTTTTTTTGTGTTAAACCACGCACCCCGGGTCTATATAATTTTAATCTTTTCACTTTCGCACTGGCACACACACACAGGCACGCAGGGGCGATTCACGAATTTCGGCAGTGGGAGAGGCTACCGAAAATCTCTTAAAATGGGCAAAAAATCGATTTCTGCGCAAAGCTCCAATTCTGCCGTCTGCTTCTGCTGCTGCTTCTTCGTCTTTATCTGCTTCTTCTTCGCGGGGGGTGTTACGGTGGGCGTTATTTGTTCGTTCTCTCTCCTTTTCGCTTGCGTTTTATTTTCGTTTGTTGCGTACGCGTCGTCGGCGGTGTAATGTTGTGAGTGTGTTAGAGAGGGACGCACGACTACCTCTCACGCTCTCGCACACTGGCTGTCTGGGGTGGCACGATTTGTTGTTGTCGCCTATTGCTTCGAAAATGTGATGACAATATTTTAGTAATTTTTTTCCACAAAAAAAACCAAGATTATTTCGCGATTTTTCCCGGCGGCAGTGAGTTTTTTTGTGTTTTCGATGCGCCGAAACGAAACGCAGCACCTCGCGCGGGGAAATTTTTTTTTTTTGTGACCGCTAGAGATGGAGAATGCTCGATAGAGAAGAAACATCGATGGCAACATCGATTGGTCGGGTTAAGAACTTGGATTTGCTAACAGAAATGTTAAAAGTCGATGGTTTCCTAATATTTCTGTTAAAAATCAACGCTCTTTTTACGGATATGTTAGTTTACTCGCTAGTGGTGAAGAGTCGATATAGTCTGTTCTTAAAATTTCAGTTCTATCGATTTTTATACAACTCGATATATTAATTTCTTTTTTTGCACACTGTCTGTTAAAATTCTTAATTTCAGCTTAAATGCTCTCATTATTTAACACAACTTATGTGAAATAATTCATATATTATATATGTTACGAATAATTCAATTAGTTTTTTAAAAGAAACTATAAAATAGAGCGCTTTAGCAACAAGTATTTAGAAGTTCACTGTTTTACTCAAATATTTTTGATACTGTCAATACAAAAGGGTTTTGTTTTTGTAAGTGTACAATTATTTGTTCAGCTAGTCCTCAAACCAATTCAGCTCTGACAATTAAATACCTTTTTTTTTAAAAACAAGTGTTTATGTGGGATATATGTGGGAGGATAGCTGTTTTTCTTAATTGCTGTATTAAGTTTGCATAAGCAAGATTGGTTTAGCCTTTCACTTTTGTTAATAATTGCAGGTGTTTTTGTTTTCACTTTTACGGTCAATTACCGCAGAAATACCCTGAAAACGCTTGGTTAAATGTGCTAAAAATGCCGGCACATTACGTCAGCTTCCACAACAACAACAATCAGCACTGGTTTGTTTGTGGAACCTATTCATATTGAGAAACGCCATGCGCGTGAATTTTTATGAATGAATCGCGACCGGCACTTTTGTTTAAGCGAATTGCGAGCTGAAAAAGAACTGGGCAACAAGCCGATATGCAAAAATATATATATTCCACATTTATAAATAAGTGCAAAAATTAAGTTATGCACAGGGTTGTTTGGCACCGCGATCAGTTCGAAACGTTGCACAGCACTGGTAATTTTTGGAGGGAAATTTTAAGAATTAATTTCCTTCTTATAAAATCACTTTAAAATGTATGATTTTAATGACGATGGCCAATAAGGTCAGTTAGAAAATTTTTGGCTATTTGTTAAATCGGCAATGACAATCAAAATTCAATTTTATGGAGTTAAAATTTTAAAATTAAATTAAAATAAAAATAATTTGATTTTTAACACGATCCTAATGATTTTAATAAAAAATAAATGGTTAAATAAATTTTAAAAAAAGTTGTTTACTGTTTTTATCTAAAAAATTTAAATTATAATCGACAAATTAACATGAACTGTTTGGGTTTAGGGAGGAAAGGCACTATATGACCATTAAGTAGAACAGTGATATTTAGATAACTAAAATATGTCGGTGGAAGTCTAATCCATAATTATGTTTAAATTAACTTTTGTTTAGGAAAGTTCGTGACAATTCTAAAGCTATCCCGGCATGGTTGTCCTATCAAAGGCTTGGTAAAGGATATTTGGAACTTACCGGATATTTCGTCTGTAGCACAATGCCGCATATCTCGTCGCCGACGAGAAACTGCTCTCCGAGCATCGCCATGCAGACGTTCTCCCAGGCTCGCTCGATTTTGTTCTTGCGCAGCCGTATCACCCACTGGCCGCCCTTGCTATTCGCCGGGTCCTCCCACATCGGCTTGATGCCCTGCTTGAACAGGCTGAGCTCCCGGTAGGGCTTAAGGGCGGTGGGCCGGATGAGATGCGAGTAGAGCGACCACCACTGCTGCACGCTGGCGCACCGGCCGACCACGTGCAGCGACTTGCTGTAGTCGGAGGCCGCCCGCTGCGTCCCTTTGCGGGAGAACCAGAGGCAGTATGTGTGCTGCAGCCGGTTCTCGCCGGGACCCACCTCCAGCGGAGGCAGCTTATCCACATCTATCTCGTTCTCCACATCGCTGTCGTCGCTGTCGACGAGATCTGGCCAGATTTTCCTGAAACGCGCGTGCATGACACACGGGAGAAACGGCTTTTGATTAGTATGTCAAGGCTTAGAAATCAAATTCAAGAAAAGGTTCACCAGACCAGCCGCTTGCCGCATAGCCACATCTCTCTCAATCACTATCCAACAAAATTATTCTACAAGGCAGCCACTATGAAGCTGTCCATCCGCATGCTGGACCAACGCACTATCAGCCTGGACATGAGTGACTCGCAGGACGTACGGGCTCTGAAGCAGCGCCTGGGTAGTCTACCCGAGGTATCCTTGCCCGTGGAGAGTCTCCAGCTGATATATGGCGGCCGCATCATGGAGGATGCCCTTCCGCTTAGCGAATACAACATAACCGAAGGCACGTTCATCGTGCTGATGAGCAAGAGGAGCGTCCAGGTGAAGCCACCGGAGGAGCAAGTACCGCGCACTCCAGCTCTAACTGATGGGCACAGTGGGACGGCCGCACAAGTGGTGGCGCCTTCACTCGCTATCGATGAGCAGCGGGTTTGCGATCTCATGGCCATGGGCTATGGCGAGCAAGAGGTGCGCTCCGCTCTCCGGGCCAGTTTGAATCATCCGGAACGTGCCATAGAGTATCTAATTAGTGGGATTCCTCAGGAGCCCGCTGCAGCTGCTCCTCCCAGTGGCGAGGCATCTGAGGCACTGGATCAACTAGTGGGGGATCCTGTCCTTGCCCGGGTGCGTGACATGATACGCGAAAATCCGGAGCTGCTGCAGGTGATCCTAAACAGACTGGCCGAAACCGATCCGGCTGCCTTTGAGGCCGTTCAAAGCCACCAGGAGGAGTTCTTGGCCATGCTTACAGGTGGTGACAGTGCTGGCAGTGTGGACTTGGATGCGGGCGGCACCCTGCAGGTCAGCCTTACCGCCGAAGAAGTTGCCGCCGTGGAGCGCCTGGAAGCACTGGGTTTCCAGCGCGTTATGGCCGTGCAGGCTTACCTCGCCTGCGACAAGGACGAGCAGATGGCCGCCGAGATACTGTTCCGCCAGTCGGAGGAGGATCAGGATGAATAAAGCAATGGGCGCACGTAAATGCAGCCAGAACATAACCTAACAATTGGCCAAGAGCGAAGGTGATGCTGGCCCAGTTTTGTTGCTGGCGGCGGAGTGATTGAGGAGTGGGTGGGCGGTGGGTTGGTCGCGTGGGTGGAGGTGGGTGGTGCTCCACTTACGACTCGTACTGCTTGCTCGCTACTTTCTCCATGCTCATCCTGGCAATGATCCTGTCTGGGCTAATTGCTGGTGATCTTCTGTAGATTCCTTGGCTGTTCCTGTGGCACTGCTCCAACCGCTGGAACGAGAACCTGTGGATCCGGGTGGTTGCACTACTAGATTCTAGATGCTGCTTCTTCTTCTGGCGCAATTCTTCTTTTGCTCCTTGGCTGCGCGTGTGTTTGTGTGTTGGTGTGTGTGTGTGCGAGTGGGTTTTTTGGTGGATTCTCTTATGGGCGAGTTTTTTGGGGCCGCCGCTTCTTGGGGGAGCGGTTCGCTACGGGTCCGCCGCTCTCTCTGGTTAATAATCGTATGTCCTGTGCTGCTCCTTGTGGGTTTCCAGTGGGTTTGCTTATTTCTCGGCCTTTTCGTTTTGGTTCGCTCGACTTTAGTTTGACGTTTCTTTTTGTACACAACACAACATGCGTCTGTTTAAGTTCCACTTGCGGTCCACATTCCACGCGGCGCTGTCAAAATGGGCCAGTGCTGCAAGTGGCGGGGCGATTTAGACGTTGGCCAACACTGTTGATGGTGCAGTTGCATACCGTGTAATAAAGGGGAATTCCAATTATTTAATGATTTCTAACTTCTTTTAATCTTACCAATTTTCAATTGAAAAAAAATAATATATGCTTTCAAAATTTAGTGAATAGTATAAGTACTTCTGTCGTTATTTTAAATTAAGTTAGTTATTCCTTTACTGAACAATCAACATTTTTTTATTTAGTTCAATGCATGTTAAAATATAGTAAAGTCTATTCATTGTCCAGTATTTTAAAGATTATATTGAGCCTTAATACTTATAACGAAATACAAATTTTACAAAATGGTGCCAAACCTTCTCTAGCAGGAAATCACCAAAAAAAAGCCAACCGATTTACAGGGTATTCGCTTATCGACTTTTTGCTGTCCCTCTTTAAAAATCGGTTTGTTTACGTTTATTTGCAAGCCGCTAAAAATGGGTAAAAGTGAGAAAAAATCGAAGAAAAAGCACAAAGAAAAGCGCAGGGAGCACAAGGAGAAGCACAAGTCTAGAAAATCCAAGAAAAACAGCCGGAAAAAGGAAGAATCTCCTCCACCCGCTCCACCACCACAAAAGCAGCCCGAGGAGGAGGACGAGGACTTTGCAATACCAATAGGTCCGTAAGACTCAACTAAATGTAAAACCCTGTATGTGTTTGCTGAACACTCTGCCCCCCAAAACTCAAGCACTGATGAACAGCAAATCGCACGCACCGGAAACTCCGGAGGAGTACCAGCGCCGCCAGAGCCAAATCCGCAGGGAAGTGGATCCGGTGACGGGACGCGTGCGCCTCATTAAGGGCGACAGCGAGGTGCTGGAGGAGATCGTGACCAAGGAGCGCCACGTTGAGATCAACAAGAAGGCCACCCGCGGCGACGGCGAGTTTTACGAGGCCAGATCTCTAGACGCCGCCAGGCGTCGCAAATAGCTGAAAACCAAAAAAGGACAAAACTTTAGCCATTTCATGTCTTGTAGTAATAATTAATAACTGTCAGTTTTATTAAACAAAAGGCTAGCTAGCGACTATATGTACACGCGAAATCCGTGGAAATTTCTTTGGTGGCGCAGCTAGTACAACTGATGGAAGAAGGTGGTGCTGCCGTCCTGCCAGGCTGGATCGTCACTGACCTTAGCCCGGCACATCGGGCAGGTCTGCTCGCGCTTGAACCAGGTCTGGACGCACTCATCACAGAAAATGTGGCCGCACTCCAGCACAATGGGTGTGTTGAAGGCGTCATGGCAGATGGGGCACAGGGCGCCCGCTGCATCCAACTCGTCTTTGGTCGGCGCCCGCTCAGAGTCCTTGAAAAAATCGAATTATCAATGAAAGATCACAAATATAAAACTGACTCATCCTTACAATATTCTTCCTAAAGGTCACAATCGCTTTTTTAAGCGACTTGCCGCGCTCCACCAGCTCGAATATCTTGGCACCCAGGTACAGAGCAGAAAAAAGTCCTCCGGACACGATCTCCAGGCCCGAATAGGACTCGTACAGAAACAAGAACCATTGGGTAATGGGGGTCATCGCCCGGTAGAACTGAGAAATGTACTCCACCAGCACGTAAAGACGAGCCTGGGTACATAAACAATATGATTATATAGGGAATCCCGCGATTCATACGTGCACATACGAGGTTGACACAAACCAGACATCTCTTCCGTTAAGTTTCGTTTGGGGTTCACTAATGATGTATACACAAATCTTAACCGAAGAGATTTCTGTGTCATCCCAATAAACAATAGATTTTATATATCAATTATTTAAAACACGAGGAAATCGTTAGTATTAATGTTCTTGAATTTGAAATAAATTCGTAGCTATAAACTGGATTTTTTAAATGAGTCATGCTTGAAGAGTATTGGCCAAATTCTATATATTTTCTATGTACTATTTGGACTTAAATTAAACCCACTAAGTTTGGTTTATTAAAAATAGAGCCAAATACCTTAAGGGCTAGTGACAAGACAGAAAAAAATCTTAAATCAATAAAGCTACTAGCTTTCTTCCTAATCTTGAACTCCACTTTCAAGTGGATTATTATCTTTTTCTGATGCAGAAACAGTAACAATATTTAGTTTTTACGTTTATCGGCCATCGATCCCTCTGCAAAAGCATTACTCACCCGCACTTTGGTTCTCATCATATGGTGCGGCATCATTGTAATTATAAGTTTGACCAGCATTGTCAGCAGCTTGATAATGAGATCGCTCACAGCAATGTAGTAAAGCAACATGCCCAGCGGGATCACCCTGAGGGCATCGTACGTGTCCGTCGAGATTGAGGCCTTGAGGCTCTCCGATGACGTCGTGGGATTGCCATTCTGCAGCTTGTCCCCCTCGGAGCTCGTGTGATAAGGCAGCGCTGTGATCTCCATTTTGAAGTATTTCCTGGGCGGCGGCACAATCAGACCGAAGGGATCTGGCGGGGCTGTGGCCAGGAACAAACGCACTGCAACAACTACCACAATGAGGCAGGAATCCCTCACCATCACGGCATAGTTTTTCTGGGCCAGCCGGGCCACCTGATTCCGCACCAATCGGTTCACATTGTACATCACCGTCTGCAGCACCAGAAGGTCCACAATGCCCAGCAGGTGGTCGTGTATAAATTTGATGAACAGTATGAAGATCAGCGGCAGGTAGCGTACAAAGTGGCTCAGAATTTGAACCACCATGTCGTCTGAGATGAGGTGATCGTCGTCTGGCTGATTCTCCGGGGGCTCTACCTGGGCATTGCCATCTGCTCCTCCTCCGTTTTCCCCGTTGCCATCGCCATTGCCCAGAACATCGCTCTCATTTAGATCGTGCTCCACAAAGGCCACCGGATTGCTGTGTAGTCCGATCATGCTGGCGTTGTGCCGTCCTCCGTTAAGGCCGTGATTGTGCCGCATCTCTCCCTCGCGAAGCGAGATGCTCCTGCCCATGGCTCCAGCTCCAGTGGGTCCAGCTCCTCCGCCCACCCGGTTGAATCGCAGAGGACTTACTGGCTCCGGAAGCGATTGCTGCTGCTGGCTGAGCAGTATGTGCGAGTTGTCTACGGGATTGGCGGCTGGCTGAGTTCCTGGTTGCGCTGAAGCAGGACCAGCAGCGGCAGCAGCTGCTGGATACCTGAAATTGGAATGTGTAATGAAGGAGCGCAGGGCCTCCGTCGACGGGGCCGTGGACAGGGAGAAGACATCGTTGAGATTGACACGCCAGAATCCCATTTGCCGGACACCCGCTGCCGTTCCGGACGATGAACCTGGGCCACCGGCTGCTCCGGCGCTCGGTGGCTCCTCCAGACTGCCGCCCGTGTTGGCGCCCATGCTGCGGGACTGCTGGAGCCGGCGGTTCATCTGCGTGGTCACCCGCACCGGGGAACTGCTGTTGGTGGCCGGCGCATAGGATCGCTGTCGGGCCAAAAAGGTGGACAGGATGTTGCCGTGTCTGTTGTTGCCGCCGCTCAGGCTGCTGCTCCGCACCGTGGGTACCTGGCCGTGCTCCAGGTTGATGCTGGTGTTGGCCGATCCCCCAGGAATACCCGATCCTCCAGCACCTTGTCCGCCGCCACCTCCTGAGGTCACCGACGACGAGGATGTGGGCAGCAGATAGTCGTGTTCCGCAGTGGTGGAGTCATTATCGTCACTCTCGATACTGATGGACACGCCCGCCGATGGACCGCCGTCCTGGGGGCCCCCGCCTCCGCCGCGATAAGGATCCTTGGGGCTGTTCATTGTTCCACATTCAATCACTATTTGGCAATTATTATTATTCTTTTCCCATCCAGAATACCGAAACGCCAACGCAAACGAGCTCGCATTTTGAAATCGCCGCCAGCTGGTCACACCATTGCGACCACTTTATCAGCAATTTCAAAAAGATTGATAACATTTTTCTATGTTTGAAAAAATTAATTTATACAAATCATTATGTCAACAAGTAACATACTTTTTATTTTAATATCATAAAGTATAATATAATTAGAAAGTGTGCGTACGGGCACACTTTGGGGTGGAACATGTGTGGAATGTGGGTTTACTGTTCATAAAAGTAAAGAAAATGCTATTACTTGTAAAATAATTTTTTACAGGGGCGTAAGAAGGGTTCTTCGAAGGGGCCACGAATTTTCATGTGGCGTATTTTTAAATAACAAAAATCAACTAGATAGTAAGAACCTTAGCTGGATTTTCTGAGCACCACTATTAACCCTGAGTACGGCTATTTTTGTTTACAAATATAAAAGAAGATCCTTAAACATATTTTTTATTTTGTATAAATAAAGAATCCACAACTATAAGGCAATATACATATATGGTACTTTGGGCAGAGTGTTCCCTCAGCCAGGTTGGCCGAGCGGTCTAAGGCGCCAGATTTAAGCTCTGGTTCTCGTGAGAGAGCGTGGGTTCGAACCCCACACCTGGCACAAGGATATTAATGTCTTTTTAATTCTTTTTTTTTATGTTTTTTAACATTATTTTTACCAATCGCTCTTAAAAACCAGAACCATTTCACTTCATTTAATTATGATAAATGTTTTGTTCAATTGAACTTGAATATTTAGCTGGCAAAGCTAACTGTAGATTATTTTACTTTAGTTTTTTAATCTATTTATTTTTGTTTAATTAGCTGACTAATAGTCCATTTAAATGAATTTATTCAACGACATCTGAGCTCTATTTGACACGCTTGAATACCAAAAAAGAGTGTGTTTCTACCCTCTTAAATTATGCAAATAATTTTCAAATTTTGTGGTGCAGAGTTTTGATCACCCTCATATGCACCTTGCTGGCCCATTGATAAGGATAATGGAAATGGCTCAGTTACCGCCGGCCAACCGCAATTAAGCTGACCCAAAGCCGTTGCCTGGTAACCCGAGGCGTCCACAACAACTGACCGTGTTCAGGACCAAGAAACGTGGCCAAAACCACCACCGCCACCAGTTCAGGCATCACCGAAGGACCAAGGACAAACCCTTGCAACCCGTCAGGTCAGTTTAGTTTGTGTATGTAAACAAATAACAACTGAAAAGTGAATAAAAACTTTGTAAATATTAACTAGATGCAGCCTAAAAAAGACGTATTAAACTTAATGGGTAAATTAAATAGTTATATTACTGTGCAATAGCATATAATTCTAGTGATGTGTGTGGATGACATATATTATAAACTTACAACCAAAATGGTTTAGTAAAGCAAAATGTAACTTATATATTTTAAACAAAAAAAGTTAAATAACAAACAACCAACTTGATTAACTTAAAACTCTTAAATAGTCATGTTTAATAATGTATGTATGTATTTATGAATCATTTCGGGTTTAAAAACTACCCTCAGATAATCAAGTTACTATTTTCCAACAATAGCCTGATAAAATTACCACTAAAACGTATTCTATAAAGCAACTTTGTTAAAGTGCCGTATGTGTTCCAACGCCAAGGACAATCGACCGGGTCAATTGAGTTTTTTGGACCCAAACAAAGACGTGCACCGCACACACTGAAGTCGAATCGAAATCAAAAGGCAGTCAAATGGGCAATTAAAATATAAATATTATTTATTGTAGTTTAGTATGGTATATATAATCTATATTCTTGCATGTGCATATAGTGTGTGGTGTGTGGCGTATGTGTGTGTGTGCGCGCAGTACATGTTTTTTAAACGTGCCTAATCTTCTTAGATGGATGTTGAACCCCATTGGCGTAAACAAAAAAAAAGAAATAGTATAGAATGCGAAAATATAATCTATATGTGATTCTATATATTCCATTACTGATCAGTCTGTGTAATCTCTCTCGCTGGCCCGCCTACTGGATGCTGGATGCTAGATGCTAGATGCTAGATGCTGACTGCTGATGCTGACTGCTGACTGCTGATGCAGTAGCTCCGGCTGAGGCTGTGGCTGTGGCTCCCACCGTTCAATGAACCGGCACCGTGATGCGTGGCGATAAACTTTTGGTTGTGGCGCGATTCCGGCGCTGCAAAAACAGCTTCACGTTTTCGAGCGGCAGCTGGAAGTGATAGTAGGCGCAATACGGCAGCGGGTCCCAGTAGGCGAACAGGGCCTCCCTTTTGTCCAGGGCCGTGGTCGAGGTGCTCCGCTCCAGCGCCGACCAGCTCCAGTTGGGCAGCTCGTCCTCCGGCAGGCCCCGTCTGTGGATGCACTTCATCGCGCGGCACAGCAGCTGGGCATGCGACCTATTGTGGCATATGTAGGGCAGGGCCACGCCCAGACGCGTGCCCAGGGGCACGAATTGACCCCCATGGGCGGGGCTCTTGACCAGCCGGAAGCTGATGTGTCCATTGATGGGCCGCTGGAAGCGCACCTTGGCAAAGAAGGAGCGCAGCCAGAGCTCTATCTGCGCCTCGTCGTCCCGTGGCACCGGTATCAGGTTCTTGGTGTTGTGCTCCACCCTGCAGCTCACATTGGCCACCACCCGCGAATCCTTGACGGTGGTGCAAGTGACATAGTGGTGGTAGCCCGGCTGATCCCTCACCACCAGCCAGGGTTGTCTCTCGCTGATATCGTGCTGGTTCAGCTTCAGTTCCGCCCTCCTATTGGGCAATATGTACTTGTGCCGCTCCAGAACCCCCTGCATTCCGGCGGCCATCAGGATGTTCCTGTAGCTGCCCACGAAGCCACTCTCGTAGATCTGCTGCAACTGCCGGGGAGCAGTCAACACCACATGGGCGGGCAGAGCCATCTGCTGCTGCTCGCACCGCTGGAAGAGCTGCAAACAGTCGTCCAGTTGCTGGGTCTCCTGCACGCCCGGAATGAAGCTGGCGCAGCCCAGCACCTCCAGGTGGGGTCTGGCCAAGGCATCATAGTAGGCCGGACTGGTGGCACACACGGGCACGTAGACCGAGGGTCGCTCCTTCTTCACTATGTGACACAAGGCGGCTATGTACTGGTCCGGATTGCTGGCTGTGGGTCTGGGCACCACATAGAACTTGTCCACCGCCGTGGAGAAACGGGCCAGTCCAAACAGTCCCTCGAAGTCGAAGACCACCACGCGCGCGCCGGAACCGTAGAAGTTCCTGGCCAAGTGGAGCGTCTGTATGGTGCTGCCGCAGCTCAGGAGAACGGTCTTCTGCCGCTGCACTGCACCCAGTTCCTCCTCGCCGCTCAGCAGCCACTTGACCAGGGCGATGGGCACCCGCAGGAGCTTCCAGAAGATCCAGAGCAGGGCCGACAGCCAGAAGCTGGGCGCCGCAATGGATAGGGGTATATAGAGCACATATCTGAGGACGGTCAGGAGCAGCCTCATCAGCAACTGGGGGCCAAAGAGCAGGACTCGAGTGCCCAAATTGGGTTGCGGCGGCGTGTGCGTCTGGAACTGACTCCTCAGCAGACTGCCGTCCGCCGTTCGCTGGCGTCTTAGGGTTACGAAATGCCTGTGCGGCGTCTGCGCATCCTTGTCCTCCTCCTCCTCCGACTGGCTGGGGTGCTCCGGGATGAGGTCCAGCGAGTTGATCCGCCGGAACTTGGAGCGCGAGGCCTGGCGCAGTTGCCGGGCGTGCTCCTGCCGCAACAGCAGGTCGTCCAGGGTCTGGGACATCTTCACACTCTCACTCGCGTATTCCACTCCGTATTATCTCTGTATTTGCCGTGTAATCTTCGATTATCGCTGCCGTGCTGCTGCTGGCAAAATCCGAACTGTGACTAAAGCGTGTTTTAAATATGAGCTATACTTTAAACCTATGGGATGCAGCGGCGGCCGTTGATAACCCATCGGTTGTCCATCGGTTGGGATCGGCCAATCCCTGTCTACACCTGCACTGCCAGAAAACTCCACAGCCTTAAATTCTTTCCGATATGTGCCCGTGTGATTAGGTCTAATGGGCCTTTATCGCACTGATAAGTCAATTGCACTACTTTTATTGCCGCTGGAATTAGACTTCGGCAACAAGTATTTCCAAGAGCACTATCAGATTCAGACACTATGGAAACCTCTAAAGTTTAAAGTACACAATTCCAAATAAGGGACCTTAGAAACAGTGATTTGCTTGGACTTCTGGTAGGTCAGTAACTATAATAGCTATGCTGGTGGGCTTATCAAATAAATACATTAATGGTTGCTGTGCTAGAGCTTATGGTCATAAAGAAAAGTTAAAATTAAAGATGCTGCCAAGATTGTTAAATCTGAACATGACTTTTTAGATTTCAAAAGTTATAATTTATAAAGATATCAATTAATTGACAATATCAAATCGAGAAGGAATAGATTTTTAGTTGTTCATTTTATTAGAAATTTATAAGGATATTTAAAAGAATTAAAAACATTTAAAAAATATGCTATTTTATACCTGTAGAACCTATTCTGTGATGATGTTAAGACTAATTCAAAACTCTAGATATGATAAGAGCCTTGTTCCCAATAAAGGCAATACAATGTATTGAGTAATGTTTGTTTCGATTTGGCCAAATCAAGATTATGAAATACCAGAGCTTTCTACATTACAACGATGAAAGTCTCTCAGTGTAGCGGTAATTAGCTACCGCACATATAGACTTTAATGGCTGATCAGTCGAACAGTGTATGTGAACGTGATGCTTATTGTCGCCAACTCTCCGGCTGTGATCTTTGTCAATCGACTTATAAATCATCGCCGCAGATTGAAGGTTCCAGCAAAGTGGCGCCCGTTGCCAAGAGAGAAGGCGGAGAATCGGGGAAATCTCCCTCCCCATCCCATTCCCAATCCCCATCCCAATCGCAGCCGTGGATGTGCAGGAGAATTCGGAGAGTTCGATCGATGCAGTGATGGGTC